CCCACAGGTAGAAAACCAACCAGTAGAAAGATTTTGTTTACCCTGGATAATCTGGGGAGGTGGGATGGAGGAGGAGAGAGGGGAATTAGAGGAAATCCTTCTTCCTTGGCCTTGAAGATAGGAAGGAATATTAGCTCCTGGGAAGGAGAACTGTCCCAGTTTGTCCCACCAGCATGTTAACTCTGGTGAGAAGTTACAAGGCATAAACTACTTTTGCCCATCTATCCAATTCTCTGGAATTATGGCCAGAATTTGCATGGGAGGGTGAAGTTTGAGCGAGCAACTGTGCAGCTTAACTCTTCTCAATCTTCCCACTGTGACTCACGATGAGAAATAAACAGGTTTTATAGAAAGTGTTCTAACATAACCAACCTGCATCAGTTTACCACATGCTTTAAAACGCATGCTTTCCCAGGACCAGAGTGATTATGACAAAAGCAAAAGGGAAGTTTTTTCTTCTCTCCCTTCCCACACCAAGACTGCTCACACGCATCCCCTTGCCTAGCTCAGCTTGCTGCACAATAGCCAAGCCAGCTGTCTAGCCGGTGTAATGCCCTGGCATGGTCTCAAGAGTCTTTGCTGTAATGCAGTGTATACATATAAACATAGCAAACTAAAATAAGGCAAAATAAATAGAGGTGTCAGATTTACAGGTTCCCCTTAGAGATTCCTAAAACCTTTTTTTTTAAAAATCATTTAACCCACAAACAAACAAACAAACAAACAAAACCCCAAAACAACCAACCCAGAAACGAAACTGCATGTATCATGTACATCATCAACTGTACAACTGATCTCCTTTCCCCTCACGGAAACTCCTGACTCAAACTTCTCCCATGCAACCCAGCTCAGAGTGTGAGCTTTCCTAAAGAAGAGGAAAGATTCAGCCAGTGGGGCTGACCATTACAGAATCACCTGCCTCACAGTCTCCCACCAGGGCCCCTCACGATTCCGTTCCCTTCCTCAGACATTGTGAACACATTACAGAAATGCTTCTGAAGGATGCCCAGGTTGTCTCCCTAGTGGGGAGTCTCTCACCCCTGAACACTAGTCCTACTTCTGCTCCTGTAGGGAACCGGTGCCCAGACGATAGCTGTGCTGCAGAGCATGGAAGGGCCTTGCTGCCCTGAAGTCACTTTACCTTGTAGCATTTCCAGAGACTTATGACTGACTGAGAAGAGTGACCCAGACCAAAGGGAGTGGGAGAGGGAGTCCTTCAGTCTTTTCTGGGGTCATCCTAATGCAACCTGCTTAAGAACAATGCAGAGACACAGAGGTGAGTGAGCACTAGATCTCTAGGGACAAGGTTTGGAGAGTTAGAAAGTACCTCCTCTTCTAACTGTGAAGAACTTCATCATAAAGTTAGCAATGATTACATTTCTGCAGGAAGCAGAACAAGCCCTCAATTATACCCTTCTTTCTCACATCTCCTCCTCCTCCACTTACTTCCAAAGACAGAGTGAATTCACTTAAAATGCTGGTGCTAGGCACAGGTGCAAGGACAACAGCAGATCCTAGCTCTTCTCCAGCTCTCAGTGCAATAAAGAGGTTATGCCTCAATGTTATACCTCATGACTGCTTGCTATACCTGCTCAGGCTCTGCTAGCACTAGAGGACAAGGAATAAGATTTCCCGTTCTCCTTCAGCGTTCAGCAACTCTACCACAATTGCTGATGAAGAACAGAGCATAGATACACTCACAGTACCCGAGAGATGACAAACAAGGACAAACTTGGTTTCAGCAAGAATCTGATGCCAGGCCCTAGAGCAGAGCCAACTTTTTTCCTTATCTTCTGTGTGGCCAGCCTCATCTCATACAGTAGGCCCATTAATGGGCCTGTCCGCTTGTCACCACTTACATGGAATCGCTGCTTGCCTCACTGTGTAACTGAGCTTTTCCAAAACCCTCTTTATGAACATTCACCCTGGAGTCAAGAGCCAGGGAGGACTGTCCAGCATGCTGAACGAAGCCTTCAGCCACCGTCACAGATTCAAAACAAGAGTTTGGGGCACTGGAATGCTCAGAAAGGAGCTGCAGTGAATCAGGGGCATGACTGTGAGCTTTCTGCCAGTCCCAGTAAGTATCCCACAGCTGATTTACATGAGTTGCACAATCTTTCATTATTTGTGTATGAGTCAAGGAGGTGGCAAAACTACAGCAGCTTTCTTTGACTCTGTCAGTGTGGCTGGAGCACTGCGTACCATCATTTAGGATCTCTTTAAATCGGGGTTGAACTGTGTTTACAAATGGACAGAGGGCTTATCACTCTCTCTGCTTTTGCTACATTTGTGGCCTGGCAAAGTGACTTCAGTTTCAAAAAGCAGAGCACAAACCTGGTTTGACAAATACCAGGGCAGGGGGAATGCTGTATTTATATTCAAGGGTTTTGCCCTGAGGTGTTTCTTCTCTGACAGCACTGCCATGCTGACAGCCTGCCTTATCAAACAAGTACATGGGGAGCAAGCAAGCAGCCGTAAATTGGACAGAGCCATGAGTCACATCGTCTTGCACCAGGGCTGACCTTGGCACTACACCTGAATTTCGAGGTGAGTCCTAAACCCAGGGAGAACAAAGAGGGGAAAAAACCTACAATGTTCTAATCCCTAAAAGCATAATCTTTGGAATTCAGGGATTATCCAGATCTAAACTCAACTGTATACCAATTTGGCACATATTATCACCTCTCATACGGCTTACATGGCATAGGTTATATGGCATGCTTTAAAACAAGACAAACAAAAAGGGCTGGGATATAGCATGTCTACTTCAGGGAGCAGCAAGGAGCTTGTTAATATAATTTACAAGAGACATTTCTAAAAATCCATTTTGTAATTTAAAATAAAAATGCTTAAAAAAAGTGAGAGTTTTTCTTAAACTTTCAAAAACCTTTATGAAATACAGTCTTTGTTCTACAAGGTGCTTGTGTCCACTGCAATGGGCATTGCTGTTAATAGCTAATCCCAGAAGGGGAGTGGGATAGTAAGGGAGGAGAATGCACCCAGCTCTTGTAAGATACCAGCTCTTTACGATGAGTATTATACAGAGGCGCGGCAGTCTGGAATGTCGGAAATAGGGAAATACTGGGGTGGGAGACTCAAAATTCAGTAAACAATGAAACATTAGAGTTTAACAATTCTGACTTTTTTTGCTTCTTTCCATAGTTTACATAATTATTTTACTCTCAAAGTGTTCAGAAAACCATGACAGTTTGCTTCTCCAATATTGGTAGTGTGTAATACTGATCAGGCAGCGTGCATGGCAGAGGAAGTTCTGTTCTGCAGACTTGGTGCAGAGCCTGAGGTTAAGTGACATTCAGAGAAAAATCAAACCAAATGATTAAAGTGACAAAGAGAGCTTTTTTCACTTCCCTGGGATTCCTTGACATTTTGTGCTGTTGACTATTGATGCATAGTTTGTAGATGGTGGATCCTTCTTCTGAAATGTTCTCTCTTTTCTTCCTGTCTAGGAGGAAGAATCCATCACCATTTCTTTCTTTCTGTCTTTTGCTTCTCCAGGGAACATAATAAAAAAGGAAGACAAGATTTAAAAAAAAAAAAAGCCCACAACAGCCCACACAATCCAATCCCTTTCCTAGAGCCATGAAGACACACAGAATTCAGAATCCAGGCCTCTTCTTGGGGTTCTTTGCTTTTTTGCTGTGTGCTTCATACATGTGACTTAATTACAATTTTTTTTTTTTCTTACGAATTAACCCATCTCCAAAGCCTGCTTAGCTTACACAATTCTGTGTCCTCCTGGGAAAATTTTCAGTTTTCATTATGAGACCCTCTGTTGGTTCATCCCAAGTGATCCCTTCAAAATGAAAAAGGCTGTGGGCTCCAAGGCTCTCCTTCAACACCATTCATATCCTACTGAGTTATGTGATTCCCCTAGATAGGAGTGGGGTGTGTGCAGTGAAGGTCAGCCTGTTAGACAGAAAGACCAGTTCATGCCAACAGCAATCACAGCTAGCATCAAGTGGAAAAGAAATCTTATTTCTTGAAGCCAGTGACCCTGTTTGCTTGTTGCTACTTGTGACCTGTGGATGAAACTAGGGAGCTCCCAATTTCTATTGGGCTGCACTAAGAAATCTTGCACAAACAGGTAAGAAATGTTCCGCTGTTTCCCACCCACCCTCCAGCAATGACAACAGGCTCCACAGACATCTACTTGTAATCCCAACCTGGCAGTGGCTTAGTTTTCTAAAGAAAAGCCAGAGCTTCTTTCCTAGAAGATGCATTTCATAGCTTCGAGGCTCAACCCTCAACAAATTCCAGAAAACTGCTTCTAGAAAAGCAGAATCCAAAAGACTTTTGCAAAGTATTTTATGTTGATCCTGATTCTTGAATTTCAATTTGTTCCAGAACCTGATGCTTCTGTCTGAGCATCACTTACTTTGGACAGTGTAGGCCACACACAAATACTATACAGAACATGAGATCAAAAGCATTTTTCAGGTGCTAATCAATGGCTTATAAAATCCAATTCTGGAAGGGAACTGGAAACCTCAAAACCCACATCTTGACAAGCCCCTGAAGGCCAGTCTAGATGTTGAAGAAGCGACAGGTGTTTACAGAGTTGCTCTGAAATTAGTCTTGCTTACTATCAGCAAGATGGAGATCATGACTAGTTTTTACTTTGGCACACAGAAAATTATATTTCTCCAGCTGTGAGGCAGTCTGCAAGGCCCAAGTACTTTCTGTCATCACCATGAGGCCTTTGATGACACAATAAACTCCCAGAAGCAAATCTGTCAGCTCTGCATGGCCCAGTCACAGGCCCTGCTGGCTCCTCAGAGGCACTTTTATAATGGTTCAAATTAGGAGCACAGAAGAGGGATGAGAGGAAAGCTGATCATGGAAAGGTAACGTCTCTAGCCACAGACCAAAGAAATCCTTTGGGGCAGCTGTCAGCCAGGCGCCATCGCACGCATTCATCTTCCTTGTTTTGCACTTTTTCATCACCTTCTTTTGGTTGATTATTTTTCTTCCTCTTGTAATTAATAATTTAGCTTTGTCACCACCCGCTCCCGGCTTGTCTCTAAGCCTTGGTTCCCCGAACGCTTGCGGTTACGCTTGAGCTTGGATAAGTCTTTGTCAAAGACTTCACCCGACCTTAATGCTGACACCAGGTCATCAAACTCCCCACTCTCTTCAGAGATGCTTCCAGCTTTTGCTTTTTTTTGTCGCCTCTCTTTTTCCCTCTGCTCTTTTAGCTGTGGAGAAAGACACAGAGCTTTAGGTTTAGCTAACCAAGATGCCAGATCACTAGGTACACTGCCAAGAAGCAGCTAAGATGCATCAGTACAGTTTAGAGACCAGGAGCTTATCCACAAGACCATTACCTGTGCCAAGAGCAACAGGCAACCATGCTGGGCTTCCCTTCTTCTGCACAGGCAAGCAGAGAGCAGGAGAGATGAGGAATGAGCAGCATCATATATTTGCCTCACAGAGCCCTACCACCCTGGAGCAAAGAGGACACATGGGATCTGTCTATGCTGCTGTTTTGCGCTAATTTTACAGTAGGGTAGTGCCAGCAAAGTAGCCGTGCCAAATGACAGTCTACAAGTGATGCTGGCATAGGTAATTCCCCAGCTTCTGGGACCAAGCTTGCAGTGACCTTAGTGTGGCATCACCTACTATGCTGACAGGACCTAACCCAGTGAGTTTAAAGTTAGTTTGGATGTGTCTATACAAACCATGGTCAAGACTATAGTCACAAGCAGGTTTGTGCTTGGGGCATAGCTAGCTAAATTGACAGGCAGAAAGGCTGCAGTCCTGCAGAAGGAGGAAAAGAAGAAAGGAAAAACCCCAGAAAGCCACAAGCTAAATATATTGGAGAATGAAAATTGTGTGAGATATCAAAACGTCAACAGAAACTCTATCTACCAAACAGCTCATGTTTGGATGGAGGCAGTGTGTTGCAGTGATGGGAAGAAGGCTGCACATTGCCTCGACTCTGGAAAGAGAAACTGATTATAAACACAAAGAGCAATGAAACAGAACTGCTGATTTTACAAACCATTGGATAGGTCCACCTGTCAACATGATGCCCTCGGTCTCCCTAGGGTAGCTCCAGGGAGCTCGGTTAACCCCCCCGCACTGCTCAGCTCCAAGATTAGTGGAAATTGCAAGAGATGGATGCAGCTGTCAAGAAGCAGGTCACTTGCTCTGCATGCTAGCCCCGCATTGCAGAAGACTCTTTCCATAAACAAACTGCAGCCTCTCTTCTAGTATTTTAACAGTGGGCTCTTGCACTTTCCAGGCAGGCTGAGAGGAAACTTGAGCCTACGTCCTGGCATTTTATCCCTGTGTCCAACAGTAAGGCTGTTGGCATCCTGGTGTTTTATCTCTCTCCTCTTCTGAAAGGCACAAACCAGTGCTTTTGGCACAGCAAACATTTAAAGCAGTAACACCCCACAGCGAGGCCTGAGGCCATGGTGGCAGCCAGGGTTAAAGCGCCGGCAGGGGCAAAGGAGGCAGGGGACTGCTGAGCCATTCTCAGGCCTCAGGAAAGGCTGAGGTTACAGGGGGAGGCTGGTTCACACGAACCCCTGGGGACACACATGTCTGTCTCCCAGCAGCAAAATCAACGATGCACAAAAGCTCTCTCGCCATGTCAAGGCCAGATGTGGTCCCAGTAATCGAGGCATTAAGGCTGGCCAGAGAGAAATATTGCCAATGTGGGGTGCAGCAGGTGTCAGGGCATTCGCTGTGTCACTGTACGCTGTCAGCCAACAGGCATGCAGCAGATGATGATGGAATCTGAGTGGAAGCTGACCAGCTGGCAGGACTAAAGGAGATCTGGCGCCCAGAGCTTTTGCACAGAGCTTGCAGCCTGAAAGCAGGATAGTCTGGCACTGGGCAGGGGCAGCACCATCCTGCAAAGTGCTGAGGCAGAACAGGCAGGGCTAGATTTGATATCTGAATCCAAAAGAGGGTAATTTAGGAGCCAAACAGTATGCCCTTGAGAGCTGACAGGACAGCCAGCAGGCAAAATGTCATCATTTGTGAAGAGAATGATGCCAAAGAAAGGTAGAAGGGAGAAGGACATAAAGCAGTGACAGTGACAGGACATAAGCATTGGAATTGGCACTCTCAATCTTTCTCTCTTGAGACATGAAAAGGCGATGGAAGGAAACACCTTCCTGTGCCCAGGTCCTTACCATGGCCTCCATGCGTGCCCTGCGCTCCTCTTCTTCCTTTTTCTTCCTCATATTCTCCAGATCTTGCTTGGCCTCTGCAAATGACTGTAAGAAAGTGTCGAAGATGCCAAAAAATTCATCTGGCTGCATCTTGCCCTCGCTTTCTCCAAAATGCTTCAGTGCCTTGGCATACTGTCAAGGGGGCAGAAAACAGAAGAGCAATAATTAGGCAGGCAGTTTGGTAAAGACAGCAAGGAAAGCTTATGAGTAACCACACATGTAATTGAACACCCTCTGAGCATTCATGTGACAAGAGCAGAAACTACCAGCTGGCAACAGAAGTGCCTCTCCTTAAGGCAGGTGCCTCTGCCCTTGAAGAATCTGCTCTCTTGGATATCTTTTGGTCAATGCGGGGCAGCGGTGCTGGAGGGCACTAGCTGTCCATTTATACAAAAACCCTATGTTCAGTGCTTGAGGGATGGAGTAATTTCAGAGGATGACTATCTGGCCACTTCTTAGCTGCAGCCGTGGGACAGCGGGGACACGGAAGACAGTGAGCTAGCTGGGGAAACAAGTAGTTTTACTCCATCCTATCTACCAAACACGTCGTTCTAGCCCATCCTTTCCCCTTCCACCTTCCCCTCAAATCCACTTTTAAAATGGCTGGAGTTAGAGGGGCTTTTTGTAATAACATTACAGTCTGTCCCCTCAGGAGCCTTTTGCCATGTCATCCATCACTCTGGAGTCCTCTGAGTCAGGGTGTTGCCTGGGAGAGAGGCAACTATGGACAGACATGGCATAAGAGAGGGGCGAGGAAAGCAGCCAGGGCTCCCGGGCAGACTTAAAAGACAGTGAATACATCACCAGTGGCTTTTATTGTAAAAGGCAAATTTTGAGGCTGCAGGACACATGTGGAGGCAGCCAACTGGCAGGACTTCAGTCACAGAGCAGTCCTGATGAGGATATGGTAAATTCACAGCAACCCCTGGCTCTTGGACATCAGTCCTGCAGTAGTTGTAGTCTCTTCTTTGCGCTCTCACACTTACAAACATGCCTCTGTACTCACCAAAATGCACTCAAACGCATGTGCATGTAGTCTGTCAACAGCATGCATGCACATGTCCACTAAGTCCTATGTAAGTGTACACATCCAAAAGCTGTATCATTGTCCAACCACGTTCACTCACTAGCCTCCATGTCACAACAGGCAGCACCAGCAACACATTCCTGATGGCACCAAGTGCCCTGATGCACAGCTCCCCTAGCATTCCTTGCTTGCACTTTAACACATCACCACTGAGCAGCAGAGCATCCTTACAGACCTCAACATTTACCAAACCAAACCCAGACTCTCCCAGGCTATGGACTGCTTTCAGACTCTCTTGTGCGTGTATTCAGCTCATACTAACACAGCCCAGCTTCCCTTTCATTAAGTGGGTGCTCTTGCAGAATAGAAAAGACAGTAAGAACAGTTCAGGCTCTGATCCCAAGGACAAAATGAGTTTGGAAGCAGGTCTTATAAACCCCTCTGGCCCTGTACCAGGTAAAGCATAAACAAAGTCTCTCAGTCAGCTGCAGGGGGAAGAAGTCTCCAGGGAAAACAGCTTCCTTCTGGCACAGCCTGAGAGATTTGGCATCTCCCCTCCTCTGCTCTCCCTGCCAGGCCCACAAAGCAGTTTGAAGCAATAGCTTCTTTCTTCTTTAAAAAGGCTGTGTTCTCAGCCAGAAAAAAACAAAGAAAAAAAAAATGTTGGAAGAAATGCAAGCTGCTTTGAGCTACCAAACATGGCAGGAGTTGAAGGAAGCACTGCAGCAGAAAGTCATGGAGGGACTTCAGGGTATGGAAACAGCAATAGATTAATTCTCTGTTTTAACTCCTTTTCTCTGAAACCTCTGCAGACACATATGCACACGTATGCACACCTTCTTCCTCTCCCCATCCCTCTCTGTACATATGTATTTTCTCTGTATAAAATGTATGCATAGTCTGCTTGAATATTAGGAAAGTGCAGCAGTCTCACAGTAATCCACACTGACCAGCACCAGCTCTTCAGCAGAGAGAATGAATACAGGCTGTCAATACCACAGAGGGAGATAATACATCTCCATGTGCTGTATTTTCTTGGCTTGCCTGCTCCAGCGTGCCAATCAGACAGGGGAGCAGGAGTACCAGAGAAAGACTTCAGCACAGGCATTGCCACTGCTGCTTGAACACACAGAGCACCTAAAGCTCTTTACTCACAGGAGATGTCCCACCTAGAATCTCTTCCCACTTAACTTGTGGTTAACTCCTGTGAAAATAAGGCACAAATTAAGAGCAGTGACAAGAGCTGCCAGCTAGAAGGAAGGCTTGTCCACCTCCTGTGAAGCATGAAGTCCAGGGGCAGCCCACAGGAGATGGCTGTCATACCTAGTGATGCACTGCCTCTGTCCCCTGCGTTCCTCCTGTGCACAGCAAAGGTGAGTGATGGGGTACACAGGAACTGAGCTGGTTTGAGCCCATGAATGCCCGTAGGGGTTTCCTAGTCTTTTGGGGAGGTTGGGGGTTGAAAGGGGAGGGGTCCTTGCCTGGGGCTGTTGGGTCCTACGTACATGGAAGTCTCCATTAGAGGGTGGTGTTGTCTGCAAATGTTCTGCACATGGCCTGTCACCCAGCTACCAGCACCAGCTAGTTCTTGTCACACTGACAGAGGGGCTTTTGCCACTGCCTTCCCACTGCCACTCAGAGAAGGAACAGTGTTGCTGTGCTGGAAAGACCCAGCAGCCTGGGAGCCTTCCAGAGACACTCATGAGTATAAGGTGTTGTGGTCTCTAAGCAGCAGTGAGGAGGACGAATCCTGAGAACAGTCTGTGTTTGGTGCCCTGTAACATGGCTTAGCAGGTCACAATCACTTACTGTAAAACAGTGAAAGATGAAAAGCAAAAATCTGTACCAAAATAACTACAAAAGAGAAATATGCAGTTCACTGAAGTAAACATTTTCCTTCTTTCTCTACCCGCTCCAGAAAAAAGCTGACTGAGCAGAGGAAGGCAAGTCAGGAGATCCAGCCTCGAGACCCAGCCTCTGCTGCCAACTCTGCCTATGATGTGGCTTGGGAACTCATGCTCCCTCTCTGAGCCTTCCTTTCTCCATTCGTTACAGAACAGAAAGTGTTGCCCCAATAATCTGATACAGCAAATGTCAAAAAATCAGTTGTTCACATCTGTAGGGCACTACATCAGTTCAATGCACTACTGTAAAGAGAGCCACACTGTCTTTTCACTGTTTAAACTGCAACAGACCCCTCTGTTTTGATTACTACTTCTATTTCCCCCTAGCTCTGGTTCTGCGATCACATGTGCTCTTTTCGCGTGCTCCCACTGCTGGGATGAGGGGCAGTGAGCTGCTAGAGGCAGCCTCCCCAACCCTGGTACAAAGCTCAGGCTCCTACCTGCCCACAGTGGCTAAAACCACACTGCCTGCCTCGCTCAGGGCGTAAGAGGCAGCACAGCGCAGACCGAGCTGCTCTGGGCCCCAGCCCTCTCTTCTGCTCTCCGTTGCAGGATTTTTGTCACCCTGTACAAATCACTCAACTGCTTCATGGACAGATTCCCTGCTAAACAATACCTGCTGTCATGCACAATTGTGAAATCTGTAGCTAAGTCCTCACGCATGCAAAATGCTTCCCAGAATTCTGTGATGTGCTGTAACATAGCAGAACAAGGGCTGAAACTTGCTTATTCCTGAAGTCATTTGGGGACAGATGACATGGGCAAAAGCAAGATGGAAAACTGTGTTTCAGCAGGTTTTCCACTGTAATACAGGATGGTATCTCTTTTTTTCATTAAAAAATTCATTTCCACACCATAAGGGCCCCCAAGCTCCATGATATAACAGGTCCATGAGCTCAGTGCCAGCTTTGCTTCCTCTGCCAAACTTTCCACTGAATTCATCCTCTTGCCAAAGCAAATCATTTAGACAGTTGTTTATTTTAAAAAGCCATTTTAGCAAGGAGAGGGAAAGCGGGACAGCAGCACACACACTCTCTGCTGTGCTTGCCAATGAAATGTTAAACAGTGGCAGAAGAGCTCTGGAAACGGCAGGAACAGGGCTCTATGAGGACGAGGAAAAACAGCCACGATAAAAATTTCCTGCTGTCTGTGCTGTCTGCTATTGCGGGAGGAGCCAATGCACGAATGAATTATACCATGTAGCCATGCAACATGAACTGTCTTCCCCAGAGAAGTAATCTTGAGTTTGCTGTTATGAAGACTCCAATCCTGTACCGAGGCAGTTCAAAGAAATGTCTGTTCTCTTTACGGGACAGATTCAGATCAGTTAATGGAAAGGCCCTGGCCAATTTCAGGCAGGGCTGGGCCCAGCTCTCCTTGTGCCTAAATGCTCTTAAAGGATTCTCCCAGGAGTTCAACAGTGACTCTGGCAGCCCCAAAATCAAGATACAGGTGTATAAACATTTCTGATATGTTAGATGCCAACCTGCCCTGAAGCATCTGCAGTTCTAAGTTGCTGTACAACAGCTACGTCATTTATTTACCAAATGGCTGTTTCTGACAGCAGGCTGTAGTGCCTGCTCATGCCCTTTGTGACACACCTTGTCTTGACTTCCTCAGCCTCCATCCTGATCCTGTCTTTATTCATTAGCCCCAGTGGCTGACAGAAAATACCAGTCCCCCAAAATGAATGACTGAAGTGCACAGCCTGTAGCTGGCACTTGGACTACAGTATTCCTGCGTACTTCAAGGCATTCTGCCATTAATGACTATTTTCTTTTGGCTTTCACTGCCTTGCTGTTCTTCAAAACAGTTACGATATGTGCTAAGCTTATTAAATGCCTGTGCAGAGTCTGAACTCCTTCCTCCATGATGATAAACACCCTTCCTGTCATGAGAAAGACTGGGGATAGACACTTTTCCTACCTGCCTACTCAGCCTTGCCCAGGCAGTGGCCTCCATTGTGCCTCTGTAGAGAGGCTTAAGTCTGATACACATCACAGGAATGGCAATACCTGACTAAGCAGACTTTGTTCTTCTAGGAAGATCCAAAACTTTCTAAAAACAGGTTTGTTACAAACCAAGCACAAAGTAGAACAATTATGAAGCAGTCTAGCGATCTAAGTTCATACCTGTCAACGTTTAAGTATGTGGTAAAGCTTCATACAGGGCAAATGTCACCTTTTTCAAGTAGGAAAATAAAATTCATACCATGGCAGGTCACTGTTCCTCTGCCAGGGCATTTTCATTGCTTCCCCACAGGAAACACAGGGGAAAAAAATTCACAAACAAAATTCAACCCCATTCTGTTCTTTCTGATGTGAAAAAGTCAATTCTTCATCTGTTCAAACATGTAAAAACTGGTGAAGGATTCCAGGGCAGAATTTCACTTTCTCCTGCCCCTGTCTTCCCGTTTATGGGAAATGGCAGAACACATTATCCCTTGATCTAATCTATATATTCCCTTATAAAGTGGTATTGAAAGTGAGAAAAACACAAAAAGAACAAGAACCAGCTGTGCTAGGGAGCCTGTTTAAATAGTCGGTCTAAGTTTTCAATCAGTTCTTAACCAAGCCATCTGTTTACTGCATGAAGATAAGTACAGTTACAAGGCTTCCTCTGCAAACATGGGTGCCTGCATCTGACAACCTGGCCCTTTAAATTTAAAATATCACTTCCTCCCCATGGCCACTAATTGTAAATGGTCCTGCTTAAGCAAAAAGGCCAAAAAAAGTACTGCACAGAATTGTGGAAAATATCCTCTACAGAGAAGGTAAGCACCACACCTTGGTAATGGATTGTTTCCATAACTTAAAGGAATAAAAAAATTACTTTTGCCAATACTAAAGACATTTAAAAAAATAAAAAAATTCCCAGGTTTGAAAAGATAATTTGTATTGTTTTAAATCCCAGTTGAGGAAACATGGCTCTGATTAACTCATGGCAATCAATTAGCCACATCTATATTTAGAAGGATATCCAACTCCAGCTGTTAAAATGAGGGCTTCATTATTATTAATAAATCTGTGAACCAGACCAATTCTTCCTGGGCTCATTAGGATATTTTTAAAAGTCCTCCCTCTCCCACTACCTTTTTTTTCAATTTTCTTTGCTTTGAGAAATCAAAAAAGAACAGGATTATCTTGGTCTTGGTCCCTCTCTTCCTTTAATTGGCTAGTTATAGCAGGTTTCCATGGTAAGAAAAAAGCTTGTGATTCAACAAACACAGAGAGCCCATTGAGGTTGGAAGATGTTATAGGCTTTGCAAAGCACATCTGGTTTGTTGAAAGTTTCCAGCTTTCTTTTTCCTTTTTTTTTTTTTTTCTTTTTTAAGAAAAAAGAAGGAAAAGAGGAAGAAGAGAGGGGAAAAATAATATGAGGCAAACAGGAGAAATAGCTCAGCATTGGTAAGGACAGACAGTTCCCTTTTAAGAGTCCAAAAGCATTTTTTTGCCAGTGGAAGAACCAAAGCCATAGGTTGAGCAGAAGTTGGAATGGCACGTGTTCAAACATAGTAAGGGTGTGTGAGAAGGTAGCAAAACATTTCCTAAGCATGTTATAGTCATTAAAATAAAACATCTCTTTATGTTGAGTGCTTTATGTTGGCTATGTCTAAGAAAGCATGCAACAACTTCCAGACATATTGGTCCATCTGTAGGGAGATTCTCTGGTTATTCTTAAATCAAAACAATGGCATTTTTCCTGCAAGTGCCTGATCAAGAAGAGTTGCATTGCTCTGCTGGAAATGTACCACTTGCTGTTTTTTAACCCCTGACTGACCTTGTAAAGAATCTGCATTGGGCTTTTGTCCTAGCGTGCCAAAAGAAAGGACCACCACCATCTATAACACAAACCAAAAGCGGGCAGTCTAAGGCAAGGACAGAGTGAATTTGCTTCCAGAAATGTGCACCTAACTATAACAAAGTTGAAAAATTTATCCAGTCATAAAACAGAAGCCCCCAAAGCATAGAAAATTGAACTTTTCTCACTAAATTTAGTGGAGGCACAGAATGTAAAATATTGGTTTTGTCATTATAAAGCCAGGATGGTGTGAACATTATTATCTTGGAAGTGCTTTGAATCGTCTCAAGCAACATGACAGCAATGAAAAAATTAGGCATGTTATTCTCCACAAAATTTCCTTACACCATCAACAAGTGTTAACTGCCCAGCTTTGCCTTCAGAGTGCTGTAATAACTACTGCCCCACTGGCATTTGCCAGGGCAGCTAGGTCTAGTTGACAGCCAGTAGCTTCTGGTGTTTGCAGCTGCAAGTCAGTATTACCAACATTATCTCCACAGCAAGGAAATGCTTTTGAATTACAGAATGACATTACTGCAGAGTGACTGGATGAGTGAGGAGTCTTACTGTTTAGACCCTCAGCCTGTATTTGGCCTATCCTTCAAAATCTAAGGCCTACCAATCCAACAGCACAGGTTTCATTAATAATGCAATAGGTCCCTTAAAGCTACAAGGACTGACACCAGTGGTGGAAACAATTCAATCCAAAAGAAATAACGCATTTGCTTCATAAAGCCAAGCACTTTTAACATGCCAGCCAACAAGGGCAGATTTGCCATTACATATCGTTTACTTTAGAACTTGCTCTTCTGTAAACATTTTCATATGCTCATGATCTTTTTGTATAAATTCTTCCTCATTCAGCTGAGAGACAGAGGTATTAGTGCCAGACTCCAATCATCAGCAAAGAACAAGCACCTCCTTAGTTGTACAAATCTGGTAATGGAGATGCAGACAGTGAAAAGACAAAATGATCACAGCAGCACCTGAAGAGTAACACGCACATGGTGCTGGCTGTGTAAGAAGGATCCAAGAACGTTGGACAAACCATGCATGTTTGGGATTTCTATCCTTGCAATGAAATACAAGCAGTAACAGAGAAGCATAAGTGGAAAAGATCAGGTATTCAGGGTAACCAAACTACCCAGAGGTGCATTTTTAAAGGAAAGAAATGAAGCACAAATGTCCTCAGCTGAATGATAGGAGTGGAATGAAGTCAGAAGCAGAAGGTAAAAGATATGAAGTCACTATCACTAATCACCAAAGGACCTCTTTTTAAGAGACTGCTTAAAAGGCAGTGCCTTCAACGCCACAGCACGGTGTTGTATCCTGGTACAGACATTGCCATTGCAATTCTATGCCATATATGGATAATGTTAAGGAAGATTAGCAAGAAGTGGGCAAGAGCATTGAACTGTCTTTTAAACCTAAAACATATTCTAAATGGCTATAGACCAGATTAGGAAAAGTAAGAAACTTCAGCCTAAACAACTTCCAGTGTCTATTAATAGTTTTCACTACAGTCCCAGCATCTGAAATTGCTGCTTCCATTTTGATTCAGGCTTTTGACTGAGCCAATGAAACCCCACACACTTCAAAAGGTATTTTTACCTTGTCTCTAGCCTCGTTGAGAAGGTCTTCTAACTCCGAGAAGCTGAAACTGGCCACAGTGATGAAATCGCTCATGACGGGAACGAACCTGTCCCCTGATTCTCGCATGCGTCTCTTCTGATAATCCAGTTCCTGAAAGAGAAGAAGTAAGAGATATAGAGAGGCAAGCATCAAACATTCCTCGCTGACAAGGAAGGGAGCAGGGAAGCCCATCTATTTCTCTTAGTGCAGAGCATGCTCTGCTCCCACTCCTCACACATTCATCCAGGGCTGTAACTCAGAAACCACTTTCTCACTAAGTCAAAGGTTTTGCCTTTTCAGCATCAGAGGGAAGGTTAAGGTGGGATGAAGGAAGGTCTTAGTTACAGTTCTCTTTACCCTCAAACAACAACCACTCCCAAGAAAGCCATCAACATGTTGAATTTCTAAAGGAACTTTATAATTTAAGCATCAAATACCTGAAATGCTGCATTTTTTTCCTATGCAAAATGACAAATAATAACTCAGATTTTGTAGCAAGTGAATTTGAAATTTTTAATAGTGAGCTTCCCTCCATCTTCTCTTCCCATGGTGACTCAAAAGGCTGTATACCTAGGGAAATGTGTACATGTGTGAATAATCTATATTGTTCCTAGCTCTGGATCTCCCCTTTAGTTCTTTGAAAAGCACTAGGAGGGCAGCAAAAAGACATCAAAATTCATTCTCCCACTGAAGAAAAAGCAGAAAGATGTCAGGTGCAACATTTGCTAGCACCCTGCTAGCCAATGAGCATTAGCGTGGACGTCGTAACAGTCAGTTATAAACTGGGGCTATTGTGATAAGATTTATGGGGGAAAAAAAGACAAGACATAAAACCATGGGCAACTAAGGTCTATTTGTCCGCAACCTACAGAAAGAAAAAAAAATATATTGTAATAGTCTTTCTTTCTGGCTCAAGGTTTTTAGTTTCAAGCCAAGATTACCCATGCTATTTCTTCCCTTACTCTATTCACCATGCTTGTGGCAGAGAAAGAGCTACAGAGGTCCTCAAAATGACTAAGTTATAGTAAGACTGGCAGTCTCCCATGCCTGTGCTTGGCTTGTGTACTGTTGACAGTCTCATGGGGACAATGAAATCGTAATCTGGGCCTCATCTTTATTCTCAGCTGAATAATCAGTGAGAATGATAAAGCCTTACTTTCTCTGTAGGGAAGGCAGCATGAAACAGCAGGTCAAGTTACAATCTGACCCTCTGTTCCCTTTGGAAAAAAATTTTTTTGTGCTGGCTGCAACTCCAGCTATATGCGTGTTTCATGATCTCTGTTACTGGTCATCAAAATGTTGATGTGAACCCAGTTCACAGAGCCAAATGGGTAGGTTTATAAACATCTATATGGAAAAACTCCTTGGGATTTGCTCCACAGTGCTGCTGAATGCAAAGAATGACTTTGGCCATCAACAATCTAAAATCAGATGTGATACATGTCCTGGTCTGATGTGAGGTAGAGAGAGAATGTAACCACTACAAGGACAGACCACAAGGCAGAAAAGGGGCAGGAAAAGCAATGAGCTGGTGGCTGGAGAAAAGTCCGCATTAAAGAAGTGCTACTTCCCCTGCTTTATATTACATTCTATTCTTCACTGGTCTTCCTAACACATCACAAGGGACAGTCACGGGAGTAGCACTCAGTTACATCACTTTGCAATGAACTGTCTCTATGTTACAATCACTTTGAATTGGACCTTATAAGTACAGGAAATGTCACTTTACATGCTTCTAAGAATTATGCATTTTTTTT